CCGCTCTAGGGCCAAAACCGCTGCATGTGAAACACACTTCACACAGTTTGGCCGTCTGGCCGCCGGCGACACTGTCAGCCGCGGGCACGGTGGCCGCGGAATGATGCAGCCTTTCGGATGCCCGCCGAACGAACACTATCCGATTCCTCGCGCCACGCATTCAGCCCCGCCTTGTCCTCACCTAAAGAGTGTATATTACACCGTGGTTTCACCTGATCGCTTTCCACATTTTGAGGTTCAACTGAAAGCATGAGCGGAGCCTGCAGCTCGTCCCACCCATACTTTCTAGTACACTCTAACCGCTCATTCACACTGGTAGCGGATCCGCGTTCACAAAGCGGTTGCGAACGCGGTTGTATAAAGATCCAGTACAATTGCACGCGCACTTGATGTCATCGAGTGCGCGTGCAATTGCACTGGATCTTTATACAACCGCGTTCGCAACTGCTTTGCGAACGCGGATCCGCTTCCGGTGTGAATGAGCAGTAACCGCTCATTCACACTGGAAGCGGAGCCGCGTTCGCAAAGCGGTTGCGAACGCGGTTGTATAAAGATCCAGTACAATTGCACGCGCACTTGATGTCATCGAGTGCGCGTGCAATTGCACTGGATCTTTATACAACCGCGTTCGCAACCGCTTTGCGAACGCGGATCCGCTTCCAGTGTGAATGAGCGGTAACTGAGGTAGATTTCAGACGCCATGCATTTTCTTCCTAGAAGAGGGGCGCGGCACGTGTCTCGAGCATTCTTACAACAATAAATGGCGCCACTTTTCCCAGGATAGAGGGGCTTTAGGATTGTCGAGCAAGGTGCGCGAGCGCACGGGCATTCACAGCTTTGACTTCATTGCCAGAGAGAGATCTACTAAATTGCTGTAATGTTGTAAGAAGATGGGCGGGATTCGTAACGCCCTGCTTTTCTTAAAAGGGCCATGGAATTATTTTTCAACTTCTTCCTCCTTAGCTTTCCTCTTGAACTCAAAACCAAAATGAGAAAACACGTGGTAGTGACGTGCTTGGGGACCGGATGCGATGACTCCAAGCTTCCACCGTGCTTACTGAGCACACCATGGAACTTGTCATTCGCAAGTGATGATAAGTACCGTCACGGCGCTCATTGGCCACGAGCGCGAATCAAAATATTCTTGGAGGGATTCATTGTTGACGAGCGCAAACGTCCGAGTAACGCAGTGCTCGTGTCCGATGAGTGAGCTTGGGTCGGCTGACGTGTTTTCGGTACCGCGGATGTATCACAGATAATAGGGAGTTTTAGAATAGCGCACGCTAAAGTTTTGATTGCGCAAAGAATAGCGTCGTCGCCACTGCGCATGCTCCGAACGCAAACCAGGTTTTGCGCTTTGCGTGCAAAATTTTAGCGTGCGATATTTCTCGGAAATAGCGTGCGTACGCAAAGGGTCTTTGCGCTTCTCCAAGGAGGATTCGTGATGACAAGTTGGCTAAAGCCGAGACGAGGAGAGTTAAAAAAATGGCGGCTTCCAGGATTATGTCGGCGGCTGCTTTGGCGGCGTCGTGAGTGCGACGTCGGCGGCATCCTCGCGACTGCGATTTTCAATACGGGACGAGATTGCACTCGGTTTGGCAACGATCACCGGCAAATTGATGCTTGTGTCGCGCGAGCATTTCTCGGCGAAGGTACGATGTGCGAAGGTTAGTACATGAGACCTCTCTTGCCGATGCGACGCAAGCGGACACGACCGGTCAACCGCTCGCGTCGCATCCTTATGTTTAAACAAATCTAAAATGGTATTCCGAACCAAAAAACTTGTTTTTTTCTAACCTTACAGCATTTCGTGCTTGAAATAAACATTGACTGTATCTTGGTTGCGTCGCAAGCGCGAGCTGCTTGGGCTTCTGCGTCGCGGCGGAGAAATGCTAAAACTCTCTTGCGTCGCGTCCGCGAATACAAGCGCTAAATTTAGCGCTAACGTGGGCTAAAATTGCGTACGTTGATCTAAAACTCCCTAATAAGCGTAAAGCTTCCGAGGGAAAGGGGGTACACATTAGGCCGCCATATTTTCAAATTTTCGTACCCGAATAGAAGGCTTTTAACTTTTTACCCTCTTTCTTTTGGCCCGCTAAACGATATACGATTTGTAATACTCAATATAAAAATATTTATTTCAGCCCAAAATTAATTTGAGGGTCTATTTAAGCTGTGAGTGACTCTAGTTGTCACCATAATTGCGTTTGAACGTAGTCACACCAAACGTTAATTGGTCACACCTCCGTTAGAAGCCGGTGTATGACGACGACGTCGTTCATACCAGATTGTTTTGTTACTGTCACACTGATCCTTGGCCAATCTCCTCCTTTGGTATGCGCCAACAATAACAACCGGATTAATAATATAGGTTACTGATATTTTTAACAAGATTTTAATACTAGCAAATGTTTTCCATCTTTTATTGTAGAAATAAAAATAGCCCGTCTAAGCGCCTTCTGAATACGATATGGGTTCACGGTTCACACGTTTCCACTAAAGCTCAATTTCCGTTTAAACGAAACGGACATTTTTGTAGGTGCCATTAGGCCGGTCGTGTAAAAAATAGGTATGAGATAGATGCAAAATAGTACAGATGTTTACATGACCTTTAGCTAGATGACATTTGAGCAATCCGCGAATTAACTCGCGATTTGGGTTCGAAGCGTCGCGCATGGCACGCTGAGCTACAAGTGTGGACGTGGGTTGCCGATTCTAAAGAAAATGACATTTTAATGCGAAATCACGAACTGTCTCATAAAACGAGCCGACGTCATCAGCCGCGCCAAACGGCAGATAAACTCCCCTCTCCCAATGGATCGAAATGAAGACACGATCTGAGGAATCCCAGCTTTGAAGCCGCGCAAAAAGCCGAGCCAAACGACAAATAAATATACCTCTCCAAGTGAAGCCGAAATCTCCTGGATACGGCTCTCATTGGCTGGCGCGCGTCATAGTTACAAGGAACGAGGCTCCCATTGGCCGAGGCGAGTCAGTTTCAAGGCGAGCCACCCCATGGCGCTAAGTGCCCGCGCCAGATAAAGCCGCGCCAGAGCGGGCCGGGAAAAGGTAGCGCTTGGCTGGCGGGGCCTTCCAGAGAGAGCCCGCTCCAGCATACTGCGGAGCGCGGCGCGGTCACTTCAGGAGAACGCGCGCGAAAACAACATTTATGCTTTCGCATTTTTTGATTGGGATATATAAGCAAAGAAGTATACTGCTTGTATCTAAGGCATCCAGGTAGTACATTCACGGTGGTTTTATTCGCAGTAACAACACAGCAGCAACGACAGACACATGGAAAAGCGTGACAACCAGTTCAGAGTTTCAAGGAGTAGATGGTATGGTCTAGGGCGCCTTTATGTGCGCCTTGCTTAGGGTCGAGACATCTGGCCCATTTTGTCCCACACTTTTATTTTTCTTTTTTTTCAGAAGCGCGTGAAAGAGTGTGCCCCTGCATGCGTTTGTGGCGCTGACTGTGCTATGGCGACATTTTGTTTTCGTCAATTTTTTTTTTATTTTACCCGTGAGGTCGTGCTGTCGGCATCGGGTGCAACAAAGGGTGCCATCACCCTAAACAGAAGTACATTGAGGAACCCTAGTTTGGCCTAAGTCACGAAATAAATGCGTAGTACGCTTATTTTGTTGCTCAAGCCTCGTCATGTCACTTGTGACCTTGCGACCAACAATGGCACTTCCATGACCTCCAGGGATCACGCTAGCGCATATAAACTCGCTTCGGAACCACTCGATTGAATGAGAACAACCACAGGATCATCATCATTGTCGTCATAATCATCATCAAATTATGAGAATCTGGATAACCAACGTGCACGACCCACTCTATAAAGGGGCGACCAGCTCACCTTCTCCTCAGGGGGGTAAAGGTGGGTGAGGAGGAGTGGCAAATCCCATGGGCCGACATCCTGGGTCCCTAGTGAAAGACCGCGAAAGAGAGCGACAGAACACGAGAGAAAGAAAGCAACGTTGCCAGCTGAAGGACGGCAGTCGCAATGGTAAACGCGAAGAGTGAAAACTCTCAGCAATATAAACAGTGATAATTTAACGTTGTAAACTAAATTCTGAGCTATTCTAACGCTTATAAAAAGCAATAAAGTCATTACGCTGCATTAACTTCCCTTCTGTCGAAATCTCGGAAATCTCGTGGTTGCGCAGTTTCGTATTCCTCGACCGCGCCCACCCGCGCCGCACCGGCGAAGCCGGGTATATGGTTTAGTTAGAGCCACTGAATAAGCTGCGCTTAGAGTATCGGCACTCCGTTCCCCGGCATTCCTGTGGGCGCCGCCATTTTGGCTCGTATGCAGAGCAGACGCAACTGCCGATCGTCATGATTCAAAAGTGCGACTTCGTCAGCATTAGATTCGGTGTTAGGAACCTCATGCAATATCGCTTTGCTCTGTCACGAACTGTTTAAACATTTGTAGAGAGCGGAAAAGTGTTTCCTGTGATTTCAGATAAAGCTTCAGATAACTGGGAACCATGATTTTACGACACAAAATGGCCAAGTGTCGCTACTCTGAAGCGTAGCTTATTTAGTGGCACTAGGTTTAGTTTAGCGTTAGCGCGAGGCCGTACATCTGCGCGCTATGCAAAAAGAAAGCTTCGAAAGGAACGCGAATATCTTTCCACCGGTAAGTTCGTGGATTGTTGAAGTTCACGAAACCGCTCTGATGATGTAACCGTGTTTGGGACAACGAGGGTCTGCCTGCATGCTCCGCCGCTTGTGGCAGCCAGAATGTATGGGAAAATGGCGGACCTTTTCCTCTAGAGTTAGTATGTATGATCTCTATGCCTTCTCCTGCCCCAGCGCGCCGCTTTTTGTTTTGCTTGTTCGGTTTTTTTTTTAGTTCGCCTAGTTCCCACCGCTCCCGCTGGCGCTGCTTAGAATCTCCACTTTCCCCGCTGCGTAGCACGCTCGTGAAGCGTGGGGAGGCTAGCGCAGGCTCTCTTTTGGCAGGTGTGCGCGTGCAGGAATGGTTTTTCTGGCTGTAAAATAGCTCAGCGTTAATGGTGAAGTGGCACTCATCGACGGGCTGTGATGGTTTACTGCTGTGTGCCGCTGTGCAAGTCGAGCACGCGGACTTCGACGGGAATCGCCTTCCACGAGTTCCCGGTGACGGAGATCCGGAACGACTGTCTGAAGAAGATCTCTCGCCAAGCCGAAGGTGAATCAGTTACCCACCAAACTATGTAGCATAAAGAGAAAATAGTTTTTCTTCATGTTCATAGCACAAAATAAGTCGTGGTACGTATATGTTTACAGCGTCAGCCTTTACACGCCGTGTCGCGAATGTTGGACGTTGTACCTCCCTCATTTTGAGCGTTTAGTTAACTATGCACTGATGCTGATATATCTACATACAGGATCAGCCGTCATTCATCGGAAGGAATAGAGTTCGCGTGTTAATGTTCCGAGCTCGCGAATTTCAGATGACGCGGAACTTGCTGACAGGGTGTATATTTTAATTATGAGCATGCGACTAGACGGCTCCTACCCCGTACGGGATAGGAGCCGTTCTGTCGCACTAGGGTCAGGATGGTCAGGAACGCCCTGTGGCGTTTGCTTCTCGCCGGCTTCATGCGGCCGAGCAACGCTACAGCCAGCTGGACAATGAAGGCCTGGCGCTCATGTTCGGGATCGAGCGCTTCCACCAGTTCCTGTGGGGCCGGAAATTCGAGGCAGTAACGGACCACAAGCCACTGCTGGGGCTGCTGGGGCCTGACAAGGCGGTTCCAGTGCAAACCTCGCCTCGTGTGGTACGCTGGGCCTTGATGCTGGCGGCCTACAGCTATAAGCTGGTCTACCGCCCTGAGCCGCCTGCCCCTGCCGGAGGTGCCTGCTGCCGTTCCAGAGTCAGCTGAAGTTTTCCTGCTGGAGCGGGCCTACTCGGGGGTACTCACCAGGACTGCGGTGGTCAAAGCGGTGTCCCGAGGAAGGAGCTGCGTCACCAGACAAACAGCCACAAGGCCGCCGAGCTGAGCTTGGAGCAGGATTGCCTGCTGTGGGGTTCCAGGGTGGTGATTCCACAAAGTCTACGGGCCAAGTTGCTGCATGCGGGGCACCCTTGCGTGGAAAAGACCAAGATGATGGCATGGTCGCACGTTAGGTGGCCTGGCCTGGACCAGGACATCGCGCACCAGGTGCAAGGCTGCCAGGTCTGCCAAGAGAATCAGCGAGGCTCGCGCCACGTGGAGATCACCCCCTGGCCGTTCCCACAGAGGCCCTGGTCCCGCCTGCATGTGGATTTTGCGGGACCCTTTAAGGGCCACGACTTCCTAGTAGTAGTGGCCCTTAGCCCGCAAGAGGACCAACGACAGCACCAGTTGCGGCCAGTGGAGCACCACCCACCACGGAGGCGACAAGCGCCGCCACTTACAAATCCGGTCCCTGCTGCTCCACCGGATGGAGTGCGACCAGTTCAGGCAGCGCCCGGCGTTGCCACACCTGGCCCAACAACACCAGAGACCAGGCAGAGTACGCGGCAGCGAAGGCCACCTGACCGTTACTCGCCAGGGTGACCTTCGCCGTTGACTGGCCAGGACTTGGCAAGACCAGACGCAAATTGGTGTCGGCCGTGTGCATTGTTTATTTGTTCATTTTGTTTTTTGAAAAACAAATTGGGGGGGGGGGGGGGGGGAGGAATGTAACCAGTTGGTAGCACCCCCTCCAGTCTACCCATCTGTGGCCGCCATCCCTTAGCAAAAAGAGGCCGTACTTCAAACGAAGTTGAAATATATTTAGTACGAATATTCATTTTGTATTTATTCTGTATTATTTTGGCCGCATTCGAAATACGCGCGTAATGTATTCAAAATACATTATAAATATGAATCAAAAAATATTTTAGATATACCAAAAATATTATTCCTTCACACTCAAGATGCCATTTGTGGATTAAAAACCGGTCACACAATTTTTTTTTATTTTCGATTTTGTCAGCAAATGGTGTCTCTGTGGTATTTGAAGGCACTACTAAATACATCTCACAAAGCCACATTAGAAACGAACACAAACACAAACACCATGACGCACTGAAGAGCTCATTCACAGTCCCGTTGACTGCTCTACAGCCTTATATAGCCTACATATTGAAGGTAATAATTTTTTCGGTGACCACCTCTGCGCTTATTAAGGTTACAAGTATTCGATCTTCTCCTCGGGAGTCAGTCAAGGGGGAAACAGTGTTTTGAAGTTCGTGGACGATATCTCTTACTAAAAGGCATTGGTACAACTAATAACAATTCGGCACAGTCCCTAAAACAATATCCGCACAAACGGCTCATAAAATACATGTTATTGCTTCTCTGCGTAGCACCACTCAGGGCGAAGCGAATCAAGGCAGTTTCTTCACTTTAAAATACTGTAAACGACTTTATTTTCGTGAGGACCTAATTCTCGCAAAGTTGGCGAATCGCCTACAATTCTGAAAAATAGGTCCCGTGAACAATTCCGGCAAAATGTGAAAACATTAAAATCTATATTGCGATCCCAGCGCGTCGCGAAAATTTGAATTTGCGAATTATTCCAAAACTCCAACTTTGACCTAAATCGCGAAATATTGAGCTCGCGAAAAATAAATATTTTACATTAGTTGTTTTGCCTTTCCTTTTTACTAGTTGACTATTTAATATGGTAGTTAATGTCACTGTATTAAAGTCACTATTCACATCACGTACAATGGTGAGTAGACACGTTCAGTGAACTAACATTGTGCTAACAAAACCACGCCAAACGTATCTGTTCACAGCACCTGCTGAAGCTTTCCAGCATCAGCAAATGTTGTGGTTGTAGTTCCCGAACCCCGTTTGTGATTGGTGTGCAAGGAACTGATCAGGTGTGTTCTTGATAGAAAAAAGGAAACAATAACATAAACTGGGCTGATTTATCAGTGCGATGCTGCGCAATTCAATTGCCAAACTAATCAAATGTATTTAGGCGCTTCAGTGTACTCCATATCTGCTTGAAGTGAACTTCAGAAGGGGAGCTTTTAAATATTTTGGTAGTTTAAGTCAAACTACCAAAGTATAGCAGTCCAAAGGTACTTAGAGTATAACACAACAGTATTTACGATTTTCAAGTATTTTAAAAGTATTTTGTATGTATTTTTGATTGCTCCATTTTTTTAGGGTTGGAGTATATTTTGCATGAATTAAATAAATATTTCAAGAAATATATGTGAACGGTATTTCGTGCCTATTAATTTAGTATTTACATATTTCAAAACGCATGAAGGGAACTTCAAATGTAGTTTAAGTAACGGTATTTTAAAATGATTTTTAGAAGTATATTTTAGTACTAAGTAACAAAAAAAGAAGTTTATATTTTCGGTATATTTTTCGTGTACTTACAATTATGAATTGTATTTCAAATACACTCAAAATAGAATGTGGTATATTTCGAACGTGTTAGTTTTCGCTAAGGGATGCTTGGCGGGTAACATTGGTCACCGCACCAATAAACACCGTGGAGCGTACGCCGCCCCGGTCAGTCATCGTCCACCCTCACAACCAGGCTGCGTGTCTTTTCTTCTCGGCGGGTGCTTCGGCCCCCTTCATCCACATTCTAGAAGGATCGTGACAGTTTGTATATCTGATGCGCGAACCATACTCATATTAGTGATCAGTTTGTCCTAATTTTTGGTGGCTCCGAGGCGAGAGCGCTGGCCTGCGGATTGTGGCAGGTTCGAATCCCGGCCGAAGTGCCCGCAATCTGATGGAGGCTTATTGCGGAGGAGGCGTAACCGAGCTTTCGGTTGCACGTCAAAAGATCCCCAGGTGGTCCAAATTAATCCTCAGTCCTCCGCTGGGGCGTGCCAGACGCCCGTCGTAGGTTTGGCACGTAAAACCCCCAAATTTGACTTTAGATGATAATTTTATTCTACGTACAAATAAAATTTGGACCTAATTGTATTGTTCACAACTGCGTGGTTTTCAGCCGATTTACTTGCGCGGTAAGTTGCAATTTCCAAATGTTTCCAGGCCCAGGAAAACAGCCATGGATTCCGAGTGACAGGAGCAAAGTGTGCAGCCTTCATTTCAAGTCTGGAGACTATAGAGAGGGCCTGAAAAGACGGAGGTTGAAAACAGATGCTATACCATCGATCTTCCCTGACTACCCAGCTTATTTGCGAGCAGCGCCTACAAAGGAGCGACAAACATTGAAGCGTAGAGCCGTGGCATCAGTTTCTACTCTGACCCATCAAGATGCCAAGAAAAGGTGAATGCACTATCTATTGCAGATTGGTGTTCATCAGATTTCTCTTCTTCCTGGTTCTGAAGTGCAGAATTGTGCACTTAGAGCCTAGTGGTTAATATCTTTTTTTTTTAGCTCTTACCTATTAAAAACACTGACTTTTTTCAGGTTGGATTGCTCTAGAGCTGCTGGTTCTGGCGTTGATGCCACAGCTGCGATGGTGTCTGTCACAACGGCTTTAGGGCAGCTTCCACCTACGCTGCTGAACCCTGGGACTGTGCCAAAGTCATCTCCCGAGCCCACCACAGAGTTCCTGACCAAGTCCTCCCCGGAACCCACTGTGAAACCTTTGGAGTCCCCCTGTTTGGAGCCTATGCTGAACCCCGGGCCTGTGCCAAAGCCATCTCCTGAGCCAATCACAGAGCTTCTCACCAAGTCCTCGCCCGAGCTCACTGTGGAACCTTTGGAGTCCTGTTTGGAACTTATGCTGAACCTCGGGCCTGTGCCAAAGCCGCCCTTCGAGCCTTCCCCACAGCCTGCTCCCGTGCGAGCTAGGGCAGTGAAAGCACATGGGACTCAGACGAGGCTTTCAAATCCACGCCTCACGAGGCTCTTGAAGCAAGTGAAAACCGTCGCAAGAAAATGCCAGAGGCTGCTGAAGAAGAGAGACGAGCTGCAACAGATGGTTTCCGCTTTGCGAAAGCAGGCAATGAAGACAGAGGCTGTGATGAAACAGGGAAACTTCTTGCTCTTGCAGGTATGTGCAGTATTTTGATATAGAAACCAAACCACTTATGAAAGCCAAGGAACCTTCTAAGAGATGTAACTCATTTAGGAAAACATCGACGCCAACGACCCAAAGGCCCTCTTCCTTCAAGAACAGCTGACCTTCTTGGGTGCTCCGAAAAGCCACTGGCGTGAGGAGACGGTCCGCAACTGCGTGCTGTGGCATGCTAAGTCTCCGTGTGCCTACCGCCTTCTTCGCGAGACTGGCGTCCTTTCGCTTCCCAGTCGTTCCACATTGAAACGCTACATCGGTGCGTGTACTGGAGAGGTTGTGTCATCCCTGATCAAACAGCGACGGCATGTGGAGGCTAAACTGCATTCCGGACAGGTGTGACATTTTTGTTTATAATTTCTTGAATTACATTTTACAATGTCAAATCATTCTCACAATATAGTCGGTATTTTATATGCCACAATCTTCATCAGACCAGTGTTTCCAATTCATGGGTGATTTCAGATAAGATCGACCAAAGGATGGCTAGTCGACATTTTCAAATCAACTGATGTTTTTATATGTTATTGTCTAGTGTCTGGTATGAACGAATCCAAACTTAGTTTTGACTAGAAAAAATACTTGGGGACAGGAAAAATCGTAAGGCATGAGGTGGTTGGTGGACAGTTGCATTAACGCGCACTGATGGAGGGGGCCCGTTTGAGAGTGAATAACTAAAGCGATAACATTAGGAGAACTCTAATACGTTTTAGACGCAAACTATGGGTATAGCTTGCTTGTAATATAAAGTAATCATATTTATTTAAAATTTATTTATTTTTCTAAAAATTAACCAACATGCCTGCTCGAACGACAAATGGCAAACTTTGGAGGTCTGTATCTCATGAAATAATTTAATCATTATGATATAATTTGCAGATATTATTCTACTAATATATAGCTAATATTTAAAAATAACTAAGGTATCTGTGTGATACAATAGTTAGGATATATTTAGTCAAACATGGAAAAAAAATCAAACAAAGAAAAATTCCGATGCGAATAAAAAAAAAACACCACCCTCGATTTTTTTTTAAATTTAGGTAACCTGTTATACTCTATTTCGGCATTCATTTCCATTAAAACATGTTGCATCATTTTATTGAGAAAGAAGATACAACTCCCCAAAGTAGGGTCCTTTTTCAAAGCCAACACTTAGCAGTGTTTCATACAAGAACTGACTCTGAGTTCCAGTTTCATGAAACCAACACACATCTTTTATATATTTTTATTCAGATGAGGCCAATGATAACTAAAGAAATCGTTCACACACTTAAATTAAGGAGAAACTACTGTGTACAAAGAGGTATCATATTACGGACTAGTGATCCGAGAAAAGATCATGCTGCCATCGGCCACTAGGAACTTTGTTTACTTTATTCTCCTGCGACACTATATGCTATTCCCTCTTCCGCTCTACCTTCATCTCTCTCTCTCTCTCTCATATATATCCCTGATATATATCCAGAACAAAAACATGTTCAAGCATTCCCTTTCTGCGTGGTAGTGTTCTGTGGCTAGCAAAAATCATTTCCTCGCTAAGCTCACGATTATGGCAAAATAGTTGCCGGAAACCGCAGACGACACTCGTCGCTAGTTCTGGCAAAACGGCCGATACAATCTTTTTTTCGCATTTCCCCGCTCGCTGTCAAGGACAAGGGGGTTCGCTTCAACCAGCAAAACGTGGCCGCCGACGCCTGTTTACTGAGCAGTCATGCCTGTCGCCATCTCACTCGCTGGCGTCACGGGCGATAATATCAGGCACAAAGGGGCACACCAACCGGCAGCATTATCCCCAAATACTCGAGCCTCGCGTAAATACATAGAGTGTAAACGCTGTCGCCATGTTATCGTAGTAAGACCGCCCCCCCCCCCTCCCCCAACGGGGGACTGCAGTACGCGACGGCGTACTAACACAACGGCGACGATATCGACATCGCGGGCTCCGAATTTTCCCATAGTTCTACTCCACGGGCATTTCTCGAAACGCTTGATATTGTGTACGCCCGCCTGGAAGGATTTCAGGCGCGTAGTTAAGATAAGGCGGTTCTCCGCGGCAAAAGAAAGCAATTTCACAAAAACTTAAAAGCGGCGGCGACGCGTGTGCGGTGAACGCTTGTAGTTTTGGTGTAGACAGGGTGTGTATGTTCTCGTTGTTGACACCAGCCGGCGATAAGGCACTGCAGGTGGTAGCTCAGTACAGCAAGGGCTAATCCGAGTGACCATCAACGTAACCCCACCGCCAACCCCTCGCGAACCGGTCGCCGACATGGCTCAGGCTGTGTCATGAACCACGTGGTAGAAGCTCGGGTGCTTTCATATCAGCGCGTGGAGGGACGACAGTGCGATTCCGGAAAGTCTTTTTCGAAGGCCGCTGACCACAATTTTTTGTCTGGAGACTTTCCCTCTTTCTTCCTTTGACGTGGATCAAGCTTTGCCGACAGCCTCAGTTGTGACCTCTCTTTTCAAATGTACGTTTGCAGTGAGTGAGCTCCTCAGCCTCGGACTTGTCACTTGTGCACCCAGTAGTTCTTTCACTTGGCAATTATATGCCATCAGTTGGGGTTTAATTTCTATTATTTATGTATACATTATGAAGACGTCCTGGAGCTCCGAACGAGTGTTTTGTGCAGATTACTTTTGCAAACACAAAAAGACTATACCAAAGCAGCGGAATTTTCGAAGTGTTGGCGAGTTGGACCTAAACTCGTTGAAGCAAATTCTTCCGCCTGACTGTTCCACCAAAGTGAGTGCGACGGACTACCTGTGCTACCATTGCTTCATGCACATCACTAAGGAGATCTCGATGCGAAGCTCAGAGCAGTGCCCTGACATATTTGTGCCAGCTGAAGAAGCAATTGAAGATCTAAATCGCAGCATATACTACCTACAGATGTGTCGCCGCTGAGACAACCAAGCGTCGTAAGAAGTCGGGACAGGCCTGCCTATGTCAAGAGAAAGCAGACAGAACTGGAGCAGGTTGCTGTCAAGAATATACGCTCAAGGCTACGTATTGCGTACGACAGGGACGCACCATCGGGGTCGTCCGAACCAACATGCTCCACATGCACTGAGTGGGTGGACAACTTTCGGCAGGCCTTTGAAACCGCCACCTCTCTCCGGGAACGTTGTCAACTGCTTACACTCCTGCCGTCAACACTGACGAAGAATGAGGTTCAAAAGATGATTCCACAGGCCTCAATGTACCTCATCAGTAAATCCCGAAAACTCAAGGAAAAGCATGGCGTGTGGTATGAGCCGGATCCTTACACGAGGTGCAAGGTGAGCCCTGAGAACCTGTCTGCTGCCCTAGAGTACTTCACGAAAGACGAGCTACAATGTTCGCGCCAAAGTCCCAACCAGAAGGACGTCATCTCTGTCATGCTCAACGGAGAGAAAACGTTCGTGCCAAAGCTCTTCATGACACGCTCAATACGAGAGGCCTTCCGTATATACAAAGACAAGCATCCCGATTCCGGCGTTGGGCTAACGAAATTTTATTCGTTGCGCCCTAGATGGGTCCAATGTATTCCACACCAGGAAGTGTGCGTTTGTGTGCGCTGCGCCAATTATTATCTTTGTATTGCCGCTCTAGAGAACGTTACAGGCTCAACATTCAACACTGGTGAAATGAACTCGTCATTTCTGTGCGACCCAGCAACAGAACTGTGCCTTCAAGGAGACTGTGATCACTGCCCAAAAGGCCAGTTTCTTACACTCCAGGAACTTGATATCCCGGAGGATGAAGAGATTGTGCTTGCAACATGGGAGTCCGGCGACCTTGTGAAAAAAACTTTGGAACCTGAGACTTTCCTAAAAGTCATCCAAGTGACGGTTGGAAGTTGGTTACTTCACAACCATATCCAGCAAACGCAAGGTAAAGCGATCTACGATGAAAAACAGTGCATGCAACGCGGGAGCATTGTCTTTCATTTTGACTTTGCTGAAAACTGGACCATCGTGCTTCCTGACGAAGTGCAAGCATATCACTGGAAAAAAAAAAACAAGTTTCGATATTTACATGTGTAGTGACGACAAGAAAATCTACAAACAGCTTTGCCATCATCAGTGAGGACCTGTGTCACGACGCCGCTCACGCTTGCTTGGCTCTAGAAAAAGTGAAGGAGTGGGTTGAAGACAACGTTGCGGTATACTCGTACGTGACGTACGTAAGTGACGGCGCCGCCAGTCATTTCAAGAATCGCTACCAGCTTCACCAATTTGCAAAGGACGATTGCCCACAAGCCCAGTGGTTATTTTCTGCATCTGGACATGGGAAAAATGCATGTGACGGAGTTGGCGGACTCGTGAAGCACCAGGCCACGCTGAACAACCTGAGAGAACGTTCAGTAAGCGCAATTCAGACGGCCAGGACAATGGTGAGCGTTCTATCAAAGAAACTGAAAGGCGTGCATCTTGTATATCTGGACGAAAATGAGGTTGTTCGGTATCGTGAACAAAAAAAAGAAGTGGCTGACGGTGCGCGCCTTCCCTGGCATTCAGTCTTGGCACGCGTGGCGGCTCAGCAAGTCATCAACAGAAGGGACCTGTGACGTATATGTAGCATGGACAGTCGGATCTGCTTGGAAGCAACTTTATTAAATGGGTACAGCGAGGAAAACCTTAGCGTAAAGTGCCGAATTTGATTTCCCAAGGACTGCTCATTTTGAATGCAGGGACATCTTATTTACCACATTTTTCTTCACGGGGTATTTAACCTACTGTTTTTGTTGGTGGTTACTAATAATTTTTATCTGATCACTATAAAAAAAATCCCAAAATGTTATCCTCGAGCAGGATAAAATATATCGGCTTGCCACGATTCATTCATACACCGAGAGCATCGAAGCTGCTCCAGTTAGGCACTATAGCATCCGTCACCTGAAATTGTTTGTAATCGTAAATACACAGCCAACCTAAATATCTTACTATTATATCTTTGTTTTTGTGTGTGGAAGTAAAGTTATTTATTTTACTCTAGATGTAAAATATACCGGAAGGTACAACTTCACACTGCATCATCTTTTCTCAAATCATTAGTCTCTAATATGATACCACTTTGTACGCTTATGTAAAATGCTGTATATAGTTTCTCCTCCCTTTTACTGTGTGACCGATCGCTCTTTTTATCAATGACCTCATCTGAATAAATGTATATAAAAGATTTGTGCAAGTTTCATGAAACTGGAACTCAGAGTCACTTCTTGTATAGGACACTGCTAAGTGTAGGCCTTGAAAAAGGACCCTACTTTGGGGAGTTGTTTCTTCTTTCACAGTGCAATGATGCAACATGTTTTTAATAGAAATGAATGCCGAAATAGAGTATAACAGGGTACCCAAATTGTAAAAAAAATCGAAGGTGGTGTTTTTTTTTTATTTGCATTGGAATGTTTCTTTGTTTGATTTTTTTCCCATGTTTGCCTAAATATATTGTAACTATTGTGTCACTCAGATACCTTATTTATTTTTTCAATAATAGCCATATATTAGTAAAATAATGTCTGCAAGTTATGTAATAATGATTAAATTATTTCATGAGATACAGATTTCCAAAGTTTGCCATTTGTCGTTCGAGCAGGCATGTTTGGCAATTTTTAGAAAACTAAATAAATTTTTAATAAATATTATTACTTTATATTACAAGCAAGTTGTACCCATAGTTTGTTTGTAAAAAGTTTTAAAATTCTCCTAATTTTATTGTTTTAATTATTCACTTTCAAACTTGCCCCCTCCATCAGTGCGCGTTATTGCAACTGTCCACCTCTCCCTGCCTTACGATTTTTCTTGTCTCCAAATTTTTTTTCTGGTCAAAACTAAGTGTGGATTCGTTTATACCAGACACTAGACAATGTCATATAAAAACATCAGTTGATTTAAAAATGTCGACCAGCCACCCTTTGGTCGATCTTATCTGAAATCACCCTCATATGAATTTGAATTTTGGGGGTTTAAATTGCTTTCATAATATAATGTTTTGTTTAACCACCAGAAAGGGCTCTGTAATAGAAAATGGTAGAGGCACTCAACACAAAAGCAACAATGATAAGTCCTATTGCCGCTGCTTATAGGATCGCATCTGTATTGTGATGTCAATTTTCCTAGGCACTCAAGGGGTCCCTGGTGATGGATGAGATGTCGCTCAAGCAGGCGACAACCTACCAGAAACAGTCTGACACTGTCCATGGTCTGGTCGATCTGGGGGGTGCCGAGTCCGACTTCGGCCTCCAGGATCACCTCGCAACCCACCTACTTTGCTTTGTTTTCGTTGGATTGTCCACCCACTACAGGTGCTTATTATAAGTTGCACCAGGAAATTATTATTCGTTCAAAAAACTACATGTATAAAAGCGGTGTCGGGTCTTTTTATATCGAAGAACTTTTCTTCCTCTTGCAGGTTGTCAGTGGGCTACTACTTTACAAAGGCACTGACTGGAGAGCAGCTCCAACTGCTGGCATTAAAGGTGATGGCATCCATCGAAGAAGCTGGATTTCGGGTTGTTCGACTCGTTGGCGACAACCACAGCTCGAATTGCAAGGTCTTCTCCAACCTGTCGGGAGGCAGTATAGTGCCTGTTGTGACGTGAGTACAAGCAGCTGTCAGATTTAGGAGGTGCAGAAAGATCAGTGATTTTACCGTTTGCACCCATATAACATAATTCTGTAGAATTTTGTTTGCTAGATACTGATAACCATGAACACAAGAATTTTTTTCCAGTCACCCTCTGGATGAAGCCAGAGAGTTGTACCTCTCCTTCGACTACTGCCACGTCGTGAAAAATGTGAGGTCTCAGTTTCTGGAGGCCAAAAGGATCTTCCGTAACAATGGAACACTGATCCTTCCTGACTACCTGAGGTAAAATAAATGCTTGTTCTAATAATCTTCCCAAGTATATTAGCTTATACTTTTGTTATGCTAAATCGTAATGCAGGAGGCTGTACGACCTCCAGCAACGCCAAGGAGCCTTCAAGATGGTAAGGTGCCTCACAAAGAAGCATCTGTGGCCCTCCAACTTTGAAAAAATGAATGTTGGGAGAGCAGTCGACATCTTCTCGCCTCGGGTGAGAGAAATTATGAACTTTTATGCGCAAATAAGTCGTCCGGAATAGTTCAACCAAAAAAAGAATGTGTGAATTGTCAATATTCTGTTGTCATTTTCAGGTGACCTCTGTCCTGCGGTTCCTGCAGCAGCACGGCCAGCGACTTGGTGCTCCAGGTTTCGAGGGTTGCCTTCCCACCGTGGAGTTTATGGAACTCGTGTATAAGTGGTTTGTCCTCCACAACCTCAAGAGCACGACAGTGCATGTCACCAGCCGGGATGCCATGAGGATGCCCTTCTGGAGTCCAGACGACGAGAGGTAAACTATAAATATTTAGCAGCCAATAATTCGGTGCACGGATATAAACACTCTGGCAGTGTGTTTACGTTCATGGAGGAGCAGGCATGTGATGACAAAACGATGGGATCCTGGTTTGGGACAATGAACCCGATATCTCACATCTGTGTGTCTTCATTTACTACAGGAATGGCACTACACTAGTGTGAATACTGGCACCCGGCATGCACTGCGGAGCAATTTGTGTCTTTCATTCTTGGTCTTTATCCTCGTTTTTCAGGCTTTCCTGGCTGCAAGGCGACTGCCTGGCGTACTTTGCCTCGTGGAAGGCAAGCGCAACTCACAAGATGGAGTTCTTCTCCGCGGAGACATACGAGGCCTTGAGGGTGACGACCACGTCTACTGTGCTATGCACACGCCATCTTCTGAACTCCGGGTTCCATTTCGTACTTACTTCGAAGTATTCTAGTGATGATGTAGAATCGCTTTTTTCCACAATCCGTCAGCTGAACGGATCAAATGACCAGACAGATGCGTACTCAGCTCTGTCCGCACTTCAGAAGATCTTGATGACAGGGATTCTTCACTCGTCGACCAGCGCCAATGTGGGAAGTGTGGTGGGCCCATTGGGACACGCGTCAAAGCTTCCTCCCCTCCCGGTGGAACAGCCAACTGCCAGCCAGGACCTTGGCAAGCTGCTGCTCCCTCACCTTGCTGTATTGGAACGATACCCCTGTATGCTATATCCCTATATATTGCTCCTCTGTGCTTTTCTTCTTATTCTTCCTGCGAGACTGCTATGCTGTCATAGAATGACTAGATATCGCTCTAGCACGACATTTTGCTTTGCCAAGCTTTTGTTCTTATTCTTGCAAAGAGACTGCTATGCTGCTATAGAATGAGCACATATGTCACTTCATTCTAACCGTTGAAAACTATTTTCTAGGTCCTCCCCAACAGAGCTTGAAAGCAAGCACCCTCGCCCTGATTGCTGGATTCCTCGTTAGAGCTGTTCAGGACAGGATTCAGTGCGAGGGTTGCTTGCTTAAGCTCCAAGCCCCGCACTCGTGCTCACCGACGACCGCCCTGATAGCAGGGATGGACAGGGGAGGGCTGTCATACCCTACGCTGGCATTCGTAGGATTCGTCTGCCATCTCGAGAGGGCTGCAACTGGTGCTGCTACGGTGCTGGCGAGGGGGCCGAAGCCACTAAAGACTTTCACTAGTGCAGTTCTGCCTGCTCTCATGAAGAATCCCTTCTTTGAGTGCCCCCAGGACAGTTCTGTTGCGCACAAGAGAGCCCTAGTCAGCCTCCTCCTCTCCAAATTCATGAGGCCATTCTTGGCAAACCTCACGAACGGCATGACCGAGGCCCACGCCAAGAGGAAATTGCATAAAAAAAGCCGATGTCGAGGAAAGTCCTAAAAATCTGAACATGGTAGTGAACTTGTGGAGAAGTCATTCATTTTTTTTTTCTGAGGTACAGCAGTTACTAATTTTGCTCATTAAATTATGTGGGACTGACTTCCCACTGGATAAGCATCCTTAGAACTAAAGTGACTTTGTGTAATAACTATTGCCATTTAGTAGTGAGCATGTTTCTATAGTCGTTATTTGTAGTGCAATATTTTTTTGACCGTGACTTGTTAATGGTGTTTTTGATTCTTCATTTGCTACTGAACTGTATCTGCATGCCCCTAAAAAACGCTAGCCGCATTTGCCTGTTGCTTCATCCTTCTGGTTTGTATAACAGTGACCCATCACTCGTATAAGACTCGTCCGCAACTCGATTCAGCAATTTTCGGTCTATCTGTGTTAATAAATTGTGGCAGATATGAGCATACACTGCATTGACCTTGTTTTTGACCTACTGTAAATAAAAGAAATATAATAAATATACAGCTTTCTCTGTCTGCTATTTTAACAATTTATGAGTTAGACTATCTTATTGGTCTATTTTAAACATGTTAACGCTTTTGCCTCTCCACAGCATTATTTCAAAAGAATGAATATACGTTTTCTTCAAGTATACAATTGTATATTCATTACTAGCATGGCAAAATAAAATTTGAGCAGACGAGAGCCATATCCAGAAACCGAAACTGATATATATTTATTGAAATTTTGAGTATATCTGAGTGGGCACTGTTCACAAAAGGTATCAAACTGAAACCGGTCTTATTAAGTGAGAACGAGCACCTTACGTGTGGCCGCGTTGTAGGGCTCGAAGCTATACTGATTAGCAAGCACTCCCATTTGTCTCCGTTGGCTTCACATGAACTTCTCAAAGGAAAAAATTAATAATTAATAGGCCGGCAATAGAAAGCGCTGTCGCTTTACTCTGTTTACAGAATATGTCAAGAAAGCTATACGCGATTGTCGATAGAAAAGTTTACAATCGATCAAATTCGAGGGTTTTATCAACACAACTGCCGCCCGTCGCCTGCGACCGCGCGCGCATTTGGAGATGATACGTGGCGGCGCCTGGCGGATTTCGCTGTCCCCAGCCGTGGTCACGTGGTATTTTTGGGTACACACGCTCCTGTAGAGAGGGGAGAGCTGAGCTGGTCGCCCCTTTATAGAGTGGGTCGTGCCAACGTGAAACCGCAGTACGCGGTTAGTTTTGAGAAGTGGAAATAATCCTAGTTTTGTCAAATACGAGCGATATTAAAGCTTATACCCCAGTCCGCAGGGCTAAAATCAGTCAGTTCCATGGAACATTTCACTGGTCAGCAAATCAGCGCGCGCCACCCCAGGCACAGCGCCCCCCAGGGGACAGAACGAGTGTCAATTCTTTAACATACGCTCACACTCGAAACACGCGTAGTCTGGATTGCAAGCTTAAATGTCAAAATGGAATGTCACAGAAATGAAATTCGTTGGAACTGACATTAACTTGGTCATGTACCATGCAGGGATATTATTCATATGATGTTGTAGGACAAAGTAGAACGCAAAATGCTTTGTTCTGTTGCCTAGTATACACCTTTTCCGCCACTGATCTCTATGACAATTGCTGGATCGCGCCTCCCCGCTTGTTCGCTGCAGCGCGAGTGAAGCCACCGGACTTCACTCGCTTGGGATACGATTTGCCGTTTTTGCTAGCCTTTGCTGCGGTTTTCCAGCGTGCTGTAGACACGTTTTCTACTCGTTCGTCGTCATTCGACGAAGAAGTTTTTTGAAGACTCTGTGTATTGTTGAGACTTGCCGTTGTGAACACGTGGAAAATTTTACGAAAGTGCAGTGTCGCAGGAAAAAGGCACAACGTGTCGAAAGGAAGGACTGGCGGCGTGTTCAAAGCTTCCTTGGCACGCCGAAGTGCCGTGTCTCTGTGCCTTCGCACGCTTGGATACCGACCAAGAACCGACGCCGTGTGTATGTGTTTAGCGAGTGCAATGTGCGTGAAGCTGTTCGTGCCTCTGGATCAGCGTCTTTTCCCCTCGCGGTTTAGGAACGAGCTTAATCCAGCGTCCACTAGCGACGGAAGATGGGGGGAAGGTACGTCTTTTTTTCGTCCTTAGACGATTTACACAATACCGTGCACAACAGCTCCTCATCACTGATCAGTGCTGGCTTATTATCAACCTACTTAATTGCGCTTGACGTTTGAGCGCGGCTCGCCTAATTGTAATTGGTCAACAGATTGCACACGACCATATCGGCCGCGCTTCAAAGATTTTCATTCTCGCCGTCTTGTACTTTTGCTTTCGAAAACCCCCCTGGCTCCACAACGTTGCCCTATTCGTGCTCCCACGGAATCTATTAGAGTAGATTTGGGACATAGCCATGGTTAATATAGTACATAAGAACACGTATACAGATCTCCCCCTTTTATTGATAGCAACTCACCGGAACAGCTGGACGATCCAGAACTCCGTGGCCGATATATATAAATGATCTAAAGGCATCTACGCGCGACACACGTTCAGAACTTTGGCGCGGCGTCAATTCTTGACCGGTATCCAAGCGTGCGAAGGCACAAAGATGCATCACTCGGCGTGCCAAGGAAGCTTTGATCACGCCGCGACACCGGCGACACGTTTTCGACGAGTTGTACCTTTTGATACGGCTTCACGCACATTGCACTCGCTAAACACATTCACACGGCGTCGGTTCTTGGTCGGTATCCAAGCGCGCGAAGGCACAGAGACACGGCACTTCGGCGTGCCAAGGAAGCTTTGAACACGCCGCCAGCCCTTCCTTTCGACGCGTTGTGTCTTTTTCCTGCGACACTGCACTTTCGTAAAATTTTCTACGTGTTCACAACGGCAAGTCTCAACAATACACAGAGTCTCAAAAAACTTCCTCGGCGAATGACGACGAACGAGTAGAAAACGTGTCTACAGCACGCTGGAAAACCGCAGCAAAAGGCTAGCAATACGGGAAATCCTATCTCAGCGGGGTTGCGTCCGGTGGCTTCACTTGCGGGAACGGCAAGCGCGATCCAGCAATTGTCATTGAGATCAGTGTTTTCCGCATAGTCGTCGCCATCTTGCGTGTTGCAGTGACAGCCGCGCCGTCTGGCGTACGGTTGTAGTAGTGCGCCCATTTTGGTATGCGGAGAGCAGCGTTGTTCCTAGCTCCCGCGTTGTCCCCATTGACCCCGTATATCGTATCTTCATTGTTTTCCCTTTAGTGAGTTCTTAATTTGTTTGTTATTGAAAGTGTGAATTATTCTTGTGTTCTGGCGTGTTTATTCGCCTTCATGGCGCCCGTTGTTGCGCCAAGAGCGCCGAGGGGTTCGTCGCCAGCGTCGCCGGTAATCGAAATCGGAGGTATGTTCACTTTTCCTGAGCACGTTTACCAGTGCTTACTCTTCGCGTGTTGTTGTTTGTGAAGAATGACAGCCTTCTGCCAATGACTAACGGAGGGTTTCTATGCGCGAGCGAGGGCGACACTGGGTATAGAAGTATCATCGTTTAATCGTAGAAATACTCACAATGGGAGTTGGCGACGCGGGCCGAACGGCTTTTGTTATGGTGCACCGTGGAGGTACGATCGCTAGTTACCGGGACATCTCTACTTCGTATGACGCCCAGATGCGTCGGAACTATTCAGCAGATGGGGGTGAAAGGGGGGGGGGGGGGGGAGGGGAGGGCGACGACGATTTTGCGCCCTCTTTTCGTATTGTTTCCATTAACGTATTTTAACGGACGTTGCTACCGAGCAACACACAAAATTATAGTGCAGATCCTCGTAGGAATGAACGGAATGAAAAACAAAACTTGAGTAGTCAATAACAATCATTACAGCCAGGGTCTTACATTTGCATCACAAGCTGCAAAATTCGTTCTAAATTTGACTTGTCGAGGCCTATTACTGCACTTGTAGATGTCCGTTTCTATTCTGCCTATTTGCTTTTTTAATGTGCTGATATTGCATCGCTTCCCCGCTGATATCAGTGGGGAAGCGATGCAAAGTGTATACGTTACAGCAGCATTCGCTTTGCGACTACTTGTGTTCGGTGCACAATTTGTCGCGCGCTATCTTCCGTTTTCGGAAATTGCTGCTGCAGCCAACGACTGCGCAGTGGTAGCCCGATGACCAAATATGCGCAGACATGATACATCGACGTATTAACCCACCTTATTACAACTCACTTCGCTGTCAAGAGCTTCAAACCCCATTTAACGCGCACCACTTCAGCACCTTGTCAGCCGGCTAGGCCTGCTCCCGCATACCGGAAGTGTTAGAACCGGAAGAACTATTCCCGCTGTGCGCCGAGTCGCCGAGTCGAGGCTACGCACGTTACGCGCTGGGTTGAGGTTAGACGGAAAAGATGTATACTCCGTTTCACCTTATGTTCTACCGCAGCGAAGGCTAGAAGCGCGAGCTCATAGCGTTGGCAGCTGCCCTTGGTGCACGAGAGCTTGTGCCGCCGAGATGTGCCCTAGAGCAAGGAGCTCGCGCTTGTAGCCTTTCCTGCGGTACAACACAAGGTGAAACAGAGTATATCCACAAACTAGCCTGCATCGGAGGGCGCTGACTTCTAACCGATGATGATAATGATGAAAGTTTGTTCCTTTGATTCCTTATAGCGCGATTGCCACACCGGTGTCCCTCCATCGCTTTAAGTTGCGCGACTATTCCTTTTCTTGGACTCCATAAGGTGTACGACTCACGGTTAGCCCGTTGATTGTCGTCGCTGCATTTCAGTTGTTGCGTAGTGTGAACGCAACCGACACAAATGTATGAACCAGGCTCTAGGATGTAGTACGACGACATAAAAATGCACTGTCGGTGTCGTGACGGCGGTTGGAGATGATCCAGTTCGGAGTTGCTTAGCTTTTAATGCGTTAGTAGTAGTGCACCTGTACATGCGCTGACCTTGTACTGGTTTGGAGCGCTCTTATATAAAGTTCGCCACGTCACCACAGGAGGGCACCACGGCCCCACTTGCTGCAGAAACTGGCTAGGAAATACCTTCTCCAGGCGCCGACAGAGAAATTTCGAAAGGCCTGGTGATAGGGCGCATTGCAACGGAGGCCGCACTGGATTGTCGGACGTAACGTAACGTAACGTAACGTAACACCTGTCAACTGAAGATCATCGGCGACGTCCCCCTTCGCCAATGGGCAATATGCAAAATAGCAGCGTCCCTAGCGGTTCAGATGCACACTGGGAGCAGGAGACGGTCAACGCGTAGTTTCGGTTTCACCAGGTTGTGCATCTGTTGTCTGTTATTGTCTCCGCACCGCCATTGCTCACGTCGTCGCGGATTGTTCCACACTTACACTTGATGCACTAAATACCCTTCTTTTTTTCTCGTCGCGACATATCAGACACAGCAAATAACGAAACAATCACAATTTTGCTGGCACGGGGTGCGAGCGAAAACTCCGTAACAGCGAAGTCAAGTGAACGCAGATCGGCGTACGTCGAACGCCATGTCAGCTCAATGAGTGCATTAGTTTGCAACCTCGAGAACAGCCATCGAAACTATTTCGCTACGCTAAGTGACCTGATCTGCTTGCACCAGGGAGAGTGAGGTTTCGGGAACGCTCACCCCGCAGAAGAGTGCTGAGAGGCTGCACTCACCATGCTTTGTTATATCTAACCGCTGCGCGAAATGCTCACGAATTTCTTAAAAAAATCAGCATAGCAGCAGCAGCGATTTCAGCCCATTTTTGTTTTCTGGAATATTTGATACGTATACGTAAGCTATTTAGTAAGTTATATCACACAGCTGTCAAGCCGCTCGTACAAGTCGGTATCGTCAGTTCGTCGTCAGTGAACTGAATGTCGAAATGTAATTTTGGGGTGCTATATATGGCACAAGGGGTTTAAATACTACACTCGTATTTCCGAGAGTGAAGAGGGGTTTCTGGAATGTTCACCCCGCGGGAAAGTGCTGAGAGGTAGCATTCGCCATTCTTTGTTATATCTAACCTCAGCGCGAAATGTTAACGCATTCCTTCAAGAATCAGCTTGGCGGCAACAGCGACTTTGGCCTTTGTTTTTTTGTATCTGTCAAGTACAAGGTACCCTTAGGTGTTTTTGTTATTCTTGACTTAAACACTCAGCAAAGTCTGGATAAACTAGATATATTATATGTGCTCCTACATTTAGTATATAGAAAAACAAAATGCAAGTTATCTTCACAACGTTGAAACCATGAACTCACACATTAGCATACGCCACATGAGAAGTCACGCCAATGGCGATGATATTTCTTTTAGCGATAATCCGCGCCTTGAGACAAAACAAACGAGCAAGACAAAAAAAAAAAACAAGACAAGAATAGGAATGGCCCTCAACGTCTTGCCGTTTCACTAAGGGCCGGTTGCACCAACGTCGCTTATCTTAACCCAAAGCGGCGCTTTCCTAAGCCGGCTTAGCGCCCTAAACCGAGCTTAGGTAAGCACGGGTTTAAATTCCGGTTGCACCAAGGTTAAGCCGGCTTTACAGACGCGCCCCTAGCTAAACGCTGGATTTGCGTAGGGAATCTAGGGACAAACAGAGCAAACTAGGGAACGCTCAGAGCGACGAATACGATTGGCGGAGAGGAATCACGTGATGTAAACAAAAAGAAAAACTGCCGTCGTAGTCGTCGTCGGCGTCTGCTTTTGGCTGTATTTCTTCGGTGAGTAACAAATTAAAGGTCTCCAAATTCAATCATTTTTTCGTTTAACTTGCAATAACAGAAGTCAAAGCTTCAAATAAACACGAATGCTCTTTACATCTGTGATTGTGTGTTTAATATCGGTTGATAACAGGATATTTTGACAGTGGTAGTAGTTTTCGTGCTCACATTTTGAGGCGAAGGATCCATCGGGGGCCCCAAAACTCACCGAACGCGAGAAGGACACTCTACTCACTACATCGCTGAAGACAAAACATCATGGATATAAGTAGGCAGGTAAGATGACTACTAAAACCAAGTCAAGCCTGAGACCGATGAAGTTCAAAACAGTGACGAACTCGCCACGGCAGCTGCGAAAATGCGCGGAAATCGTCGAATAGAAGTCGTCGAGAGGTCAGGTCACGAGACCTTGCATCGACGGTACTCGTTGCTATCAGCAAGGTGACAGAACTGCACTGTACCGTCGTTGAACACCCGCTGCAGCCTCAAACGGACTTCAGTTTCACACTGTCGAGTTCAGAAAAAAAAAAAAAAAACTCCCACTAGTACATCACATCGCGCCGATAAGAACGGTCGTCTCTTCGCATCACCTGCCCCAGCCTGCCCCGATACAGCAATGACCGAATCTAACATAGTAGTCGTTACGATTTGTCGTCGCCACGAATGAAAGATATAAAGCAAAATATTCCTAAAAAATCGCGATCACCAAAAAAGTTACGGACGACACAACAAGGCGCAACTTTCAACTGAATTTTATTGAAAACGTGTTCCGGTATATAGTCTCAACCATCGTCACAATGACAACAAACGACAAAAGTAAAGGGAAAACACCATCACAGAGCACAACTCGGAAACAACAGTATCTCGTTCTCGGGAAACGAATGAAAGATATAAAGCAAAGTATATAAAAAAAAATGCGATCACCAAAAAAGTTACAGTTATGGAACGATACAGTTTTCTGAAGCCAAGATTCTACTCGCGAGATAAGGAAAATTCACTGAAGATTGTCTCAAAACTCAGAAAACGAAAGAAATCGAATTTTCGCTGTTTTATTACTTAAAAGCGCCGCAATCTAATGCAAACGGCAGAGGTGTCGACAATCAGCTGATCGCCGAGATCATGTACTGCCAGTCTGCCACTATTCAACGCGCTGATCAGGCTGAAGGATACGCGCTGCAAGTGTAAATAAACAAGGTGGTAAATAACAATACGTTACAGCTATGCGAAAATTAGTAAGTACATACGAATAAGCTTGTTGACAGAAGAACCAACGGGAATACAGACGTGAGCCCCACAGCTCCGTACGTTTCTCGGTTAGGGCTAACACGCCCTGAAAGTGGAGAGCCAACTTGAAAACAGGGGTCGATAAACACTTCACGCGACAATATTTTGCATCCTTGTCACAATCGAAAGTCATTTTGTCGAGACTTTCACGCTGATGTAGCCTAAAACACTTTGCACAACCAATTTCGTCCACCGCGTCGACCGAGACAAACCAGCCGCCATGTTTTTAATCCAGGATTAAGAAACAACCAGAAGCAAAGCGCCCAATGTTGGGCGCTTAAGTTAAGCGTAGTTTAGTGCTAGGTTTAGCGATAAGCGAGTTTGGTGCAACCGAACGAAACCGAAACTAAGCTTAAGTTTCCGGCTAAGCTCCGCTTTGCGCTAAGCGACGTTGGTGCAACCGGCCCTAAGTAGAGCTGTAAACAATGTAGTTTAATTGAAACGACAAGCCAGTGAAGCCACCTTTCCGCTAACTTATAAACTATATATATATACAGGGGCATGCAAGCTTTCAGTAGTTCGTCGACAAACAATTTGAAGCTCCCCAGACATTTTTTTGTATGATGTCTTTACAACTTTAATAAACTGTGACGTTACACACAAGACTCCAACAAAAATGAGGTCAAGGCACAAAAATACGAAAAGCGTCAAGCAGCCCAAGTGTATTCCGGCTAGTGCAGTCTGTGCAACCTCCTCTTTTGTCTGTGGTTGGCTTCCATATCCATGTCGTCCATGTCTTCCAGGTACCCGTCGTTTCGGTCAGGGGGGTACCCGTCGTCCTTTTTATCGTGACTGGCGTCGTTTTCTACGGCGTCTTTATTTCTAGGGTTGGACCTGCTCCCCGTACCCCAAGGTTTGTCCTTTGCCTTATCCTGGTCGCCTCTCTTGTTCCACGTCTTGTCAGTACCAAAGTTGTCACCTGCGCCTTTTGCACCACCGGCCTCGTTGTGGTCCTTTTGATTATCATGATGATCGCTGTGTTTATCATCGTCGAAGGCATCCTGGCTCCTTTTCCCTTCCTTGGTGTCAAACGAGTCCTCGTCTCCACTGCTCTGTTCGTCCTCGCTATTGTCCCAGCTGCTCTTCCGCTTATCGTTCCCCTTGTGCGGCGGTTGACGCTTTCCGACAGGTGCTACGCCATCGGTGCCCCAACGATTGGAAGGCATCGCCTGCTCCCGGGGCTGTTCGTTGTCCCGGGTGTACACCGCGTCATCGCCGTGGTTTCCGGGATAGTCATCCGGTTTCGGTACACGAGGTTCTAAAGGTTTCTTTCTTTGAAGAGGTTGTGGCGGATTCTCAGTAGTTGCCTGGTGGAGAGAAACACGTTATTCAGTATTACTGCGCGATCATATGGATATAGCTTCTTGTGACTGGAAACACTCCGTACTATATCAAATGTACTATACGTGTAGTAATTACAGCAAAGCACTGAGCCGTGCATAGCTTCAATTCTTGAAATGGGAACTAAATGTAAGGCTATCATTAAGCCCTACCTACAGCTTGCGCAGCATTTAATGCAGAATGTGTCCAATGGCTGGCTTCTAGCAGTTTCCTATGGCGCACATCCTCTAACGAAAAATTGTTGCACTTGTTCTGCGTCACGGTGCGGCTGCAACTCGTGTCCTTGATGATTGAGTACGAGTCCCTGTCGAACGCTGATCCAGCACTTGTGTTTAATCTGTTCTTGTTATCTAGCAGGTGTTGAGCGTGCGCGCTCGCACATATGTTGCAAGAGTATGCAGGAAGTGAGGGGATCGAGAACAAGCACGTGCTTCGAAGAAATCAGAAACACGCAAACTAGCAAAGTGAAAGCTGATGTTGCGACCGCAAGAGACTCGAAATTTGCGCTCCACTCCCACTTGAGCGCTAACTTTGGCAGGCTCTCTTTCAGAGACACTACGCACGGCTAAGTTCGCGCCACCGAGGCACCAAATGCGCACCAAGTTCATCTATGGAACGCCACCGCGAAATAACACACAACGCCCATTTTGTGTTACTAATGCCCTTGCCCCGACAATGCCTGAAAGGGGCGAACCTTTTGTGTCATTATGATTGCGAATATGTATGCCGATGTGCCTATAAAGCAATTAAAAATTAAAGCAAAAGCGTTTATGCGTGCAGGATGACAAAAATTCGTGTCTTTATCGCTCAGTCGTCTTCTATCTGTACGCAGTACACACAATATGCATTCTGTCAGTGGGATCGCCGGACTTTGACTACAAACTGCTTAACCTCAATACAAAAGTCAAGTTGAAGTTACAAGTGGGCTCTTGCAGTCGAATCTGGTATAACAGAAGCGCTGGATGAATACACGTGCAAGGAAGAAAAGCTAAAAAAAAAAAAACAAAGTCCGTCCTGTTTTGTTTTTTTTACGTTTTCTGCGGCACTCGCTGGCTGAACTTGATTCAATTTAAAATATCATCATAAAATAAACAAGCCACGGCACTCCGTATTTTATTCAAGATGGCCTCCGTGGGAGTGCGGCCTTGAAAAGCAACTTCAGCCACAATTTATAATTTTGTTTGTCTCCAAAATCGGAAATTATATTATAGACTACACAAGGATTAATGAAGCTTCAGCTTAATATCCTGAAAATAAAACAGGTAAATTCTCAGTATAAGAGAAATTGGCTTTTTTTTAAATATATTTCCGGCAACGCATCAGGTCATCGCAACCTCCCATAAGTCTTTTCACGTTATTACTTCTACCTCGTCTCAGCGTATTCAATGCGTTCATCCCCTTTGAAGCGGGGGAAAAGAAAAACTGTGGAAAACGTCACGCGATTTTGAACCACCCGTGTCACGGAATCTTGTTTGTGCCGGAAGGAAAATGGGATTAGGTAAATCTTCGTTTCGTAGAGGTCATTTTGATACACATTTTAGTGTTTCCATTGAGAACTTCGGCAACACATTTCTAAAATTGTGCGAACATTTTCAATTTTATATTCCTAACGAGCGTGTTGGTACGATGTACTAGATAACAGAAAGTGTAAAACAGAGAGAGGACGAAACAGTGCATCTTTAAGTAAATGTACTCGTCTGTGTTTCGTCCTCTCTCTGTTTTATACTTTCTGTTATCTAGTATTTTCAATTTGTCTAAATAAAAAGAGTCATTATTTTTCCAGTGAAAGTGCTTTGAAGTGAACGGAGACTCTTTGGTGAATTAGGTGTCACGTTTTCACTGGAAAATTTGCCGATATCATGCGAACTTCATTTTTAACAATAGGCTCTCCAAATACTTTGCCATCATAAACGAACACCTAAACTAAAACACCGTTAATATCTCTTGGCTCAGTGCTTATGCGCAGTTTGTATAAATTGCGCCTCATCGCACAAGATTAAAATTGATGGCTAAGGCGGCATTACCCCCGCCGTGAGGCCGGGTATTATTTATTACAAGAGCAGAACGGTATGCTTAATGCTACCACAGACATCTTGCTGAAGTAGAGTACGAGCACGGGCTGAAAATATATTTTCTCTCTTGTGACAGCGTGCTTATCATTCCTACGACATTTTTATTCTTCTATGTTTCATTCTTATTTAAGTTTTTACATGACTAGCACTTCGTTCTCTGATTGAGTATTTAAAGACGTTGCGTCTTTAAATATTTAATCAGAGAACAAAGTGCCGGTCATGTAAAAACTTAAATAAGAATGAAGCATAGAAGTATAAAAACATATATGTTTAAAGTTTCCCAAGTTTCTACACTATACTAACGCGCTTACCTAAAAATAACAAGCCAGTTATGGTTTCAAGGCATTTTGAATTTTCTGAGTAACTTGTGTCCTATAAAACGTTTAATAAATAGCATACACTTTAAAAGTGTGCTAAGGAGGTTTCTATGTTTTTTTGTTTTTATTTTTGTTATGGCTCTAACTTGATCTACCTAATTCAGGGAGCAGAACAAAAAAGCAGCACAACCTATCTGCACCTACAAAAAGCGCGATCTAAGTTTCGTACGCTTTCCCTCTTCTTGTTCGACAAGAGGGGCGAAAGTACCGACTGGACGGCGCATAACAGCCTTCAATCAATTAAGAGCGCGGTCTTGAGCCAACCTCGGCCATTTCTTGCGGTATGATCGCAGCTGAGAATCGATTCAAATGACGTATAAATCGCGCGACGTGACAATTATTAGCGTCAACTCTCACATGAATTCTTTCCTGCTCGATCTTTCTCTCTACTTCCCTTGTGCTCAGTGGTAGATTTTGAATCCATTATTTGACGGAAGGCTGTGTCCAGTCGGTTCCTCGTATTATCTCTTCTTGGCTCAATAGTGGGACAGCGTATGACACTTTGATCGCGAGTTTCATATAGAGGCGGGACACGCACGAACATACTTTGTCTATTTTAGCCTTCCTGTAGCAGGTAGATCAAGATAAAATCGCAAAGAAATGTAAAACGGCTTTAGTGCATGCATCTTTAAGTAATTCGACACGTTGGTTGTTTAAATAGGACGCCGCTGAATTACCCTTCAAATGCTTGACAATTCCTCACCTTGTAGATTTGGTCAGTAAACCTCTTGAACATTCGTCGCCTGTGGGTCGCCTGAGCGCCTGGTGGGTTTACATATGTGGCTGCGGTTTTATCCCAGTATACGCTTGGTGGTGCTGGTGGCGCTTCAGAAACGTCCTTTTTGCGAGCGCCATCGTTGCCGATCCTGCCTCGCCGCACTGTAAGGTACACAATGAAGCTAATAGTGAAACGGTCTTCAGATAAAACGTTCTAATGCTCACGCAATTGGAGACACGACGACCATTCCAGGGCAGCTACGTAAAAACACTCCACGCTGATTTTCCTGCCACCCTCGGGTTTGGCTCTTCTATTAAAAGCCGCGCGAGCAGGCTCTTAAAATATTTACGCGTCTACTTCCCGACAAGGCCCCTGGGAGAGCCAATGGCTGCAATCTATGGATAAAGGTCGGCGAATTACGAGGCTGAAAACATGTATAGTCCTAAGAGAACAACAAAAACAAAACAAAACAAAAAAACAGATTGCGTTGTGGCATTGAGCCTGACATTTGCCGAGTTCCCTCCGTAGGCTGCAGCGACTGGTTCTCCCAAGTGCTTGGCGGGAAAGTAGACGCTCCAGCTTTTTTAAAACGTACCGTTTTAAAGAGACACTGAACCGAAATTTCGAACTCACTAAACAAAGCCGGGCGGATAGGCGGGAAGCTGCAAAACCAAAAAAATATCACTCATACGGCGATATATGTAACGGACCGCCGTATTTTTTTGGAAAAGAAGTGCGCGATTGAACCCGGCCGACGAGGCCGACGAGACAAGGCACGTCACGATTCCCATTCTCTCCTCCTGGCTACGTCCCGTCAAGCTGGTGAACCGAAACGAGGAGGAGAGAAGCGAGGCCGCTTCTCCTCCTTCTCAAATTCTCCCGGAGGACAGTTACGTCAAAGAACTCACTTGATCGCGTTCTTCTTTTCCAAAAGTACGGACATCCGTTGGAGATATCGATCTACGAGTGATGTTTTTGGAGTTCGTAGCGTCTGGTTCAACACTTCTGCAGCCTTACTTTGCGAAATCCAAATTTCGGTTCAGTGTCCTTTAAGTGACAGTGTAAGAAACGCCGGGCGTGGCTTAATATGTTAACACCCCTTAATTGTTTCTTCCTTCTCCGGCGTCCTTTGGGCGAATACCGCGATCTGATTGTGTACGTAAAGATGCGATTCTTGGGGGAGGGAGGGGTAAACAAACGGTGCACAAGGAGCGGACGAACGAGCGCGCCGTATTCGCAACTCCAGCCCTCTGCTCGCCCTCTCGCGGAGGAACGAAGAACCAGAGAAGCGGGGATGGCGACGGAGAGGGTAGCAGGGATTGTCGGCCTTGGTGCTTCTGTTACCGCATGGTTGTGGTCGGCGTGTGTTCGTGCATCATGCCGTTTTAACGGAAAACCGTGATTGCATTAAAATAACATTTGTTGATTTCACCATCGTAACTTTGAAAAGTCAACATACTCGTGTTCTTATTAACGCACGTCAACATCTCCGGCACCTGTAGTCTTCTGCCCTGAACACTTCGTATTTGTACCAAAATAAATTAATTTTACCACACTGACCAGTGTCAGCGAGCAGGCACACGGGAAATTTCGGAGAATCTATCCCCGTCCCTTCCGCCATCTTGGGACTACCACCCCGCCATCCCCCCCCTATAGGAGTCTAGATTCTACAAAACGTTTGTGAGTTTGCTTTCCTACGAAACAAGAAGGCAGGCCAATCATGACGCGCAATAGAAGGGTCCCTCCCAGCGAATGACAAATCTCGGAATACGATTACATCTTTAAAAAACACGCTCTGCGCTGGGACATTGAGCAAGTGAAACGTCGGTCATGACGCCTGCGCACATCGCATTAGTTTGGTCTAATCGAATTGTGAGCGTCGTCAATCGCTGATATTTTGGTATTGTTTCCCTTGCATTGTTCTCTTGTGTTCTGGAGGGAAGTGAACACACACTTTTTTTTAAGTGTGTGCGCTGAAAGCGTTCACGACCTGTACTTGGCTGGATACTCTGTACCAGATCGGAACTACAGGGCGTGTGGGGAGTTAGAATACATCAGTATGATCGCTTGATGGGGTAACGTTCCAATTAAAAATCACGAAATTTAGCTGCATACTCCATAGCAAAACTTACCGCCAGTATATTGGCACTTTGCTTGATACCTGAAAAGCAGAACTGAGATCACGTGTACAGCGTGGTAATGGAATTCGGAGTCGGGTCCACAGTCCAATGACTTTGCGATGGTATCAGTGCAGTGCTTGAAGTTGTTGTAGGCTCTGTTGTAATACACGAAAATGCATTACTGCAGCATCCTAAGATGGATCATTGCTTCTTTTCTTTTTTTTTCATCACTACTAAAGCTGCTATAAAACTAAATGCTATGTAACATATGCCTATGTCGATATAATATTCGCTGGCGGTATATTGTCTTAACCGCAGGAGGGATCCGTAAAAACAGCCCTCGTATCGTAAGAGTTCAGTGCGGTTGTGCTACAGCGTTGCGAAACCCGCGGGCGTGAGCATCGTCATGTAGGACGATGCGCGCGCTCTAATGACTTTGATATAGGCTGCACGCAACGCGGGACCTGGCGCCTCTGTGTCAAGGGAGTTTTAGACTTGCTATTTGGGGAGCTCTTGACTTGCGGCGGAAAGGCCACGGAATCAGTAGTTTTAGTTTAACTGAATTAAGAAAACAATAAGTAACAACAACTTCCTCAGTTTTTGAGGCTGATCCTCTGGGCTTAGATTTGGTGCTCGTGGTGCACTGTGCCTGGCAAATATTGTCACGAATGACGAGTGATGAGGCGATAATAACTGGAGAAACTAAAGGTTTAATGGAGCGAACTTGTGCCCAAAAATAAAAAGGGAACAGAATAAAGCAGAGCGTCGCGGGCGTCGAAGTCGGCGTGACAGCAGAATCGAACGCTGGGGCGAAACTGACTCTGGCTTGCCACGCGGAGCCCCTTTTGTACACGCGTGGGCTTCTGGAACAATCGGCGTAGAAGGTTCGGCGTGTCGAACATTCTAACCTCGAATTAGCAACACGGTTCTCGAATTTACGAGAACATTAAGTTAGAACCAGCAAAAATGCGTCATCGCCGCAGGGAATCGAACCCTGGCTTTCTGCGCGGAAGGCAGGCGCGATAACCGTTAGGCCACGAGCGCGCTGCCTGCTTGGTCAGCTGCGCTCGCGGCGTTACACCCCCCTGTAAAAAGTGCATCGCCCCGATGCAACGCAAAACAAAACAAAGCACATAAAAAGAAACGGCGAACTAAGGAGTCTTTTGGCACGCATAAGGTCCACAGTCCTATCGAGCGTAGTACGGCTTTAGACGAACGACGTGGACGACTTCAGGTCGCGGTGGGCGGCGGGATGATGTCCTTGCTCCGTCGGACATCACCTCGTAGTTCAGATCCCCGAGTCCACGAAGTACTTTGTAGGGTCCAAAGTAGCGCTTCAGGAGCTTCTCGCTGATTCGCCGGCGGCAAATCGGTGTCCACACCCACACCCTGTCTCCGGGCTGGAAGTGGACGTCCCGACGACGAAGGTTGTAGCGGCCAGTGTCGATACGTTGTTGGACTTGAATCCGGAGTCTGGCAAGCTGACGGACTTCTTCTGCCCGTTAGGAAACCACCTGGGCGTCGTCGCTTCCGCCGACAGCCAGTTCGTGGGGTAACATCGCGTCCAGCATTGTCGTCACTTTGCGACCATGAACCAGTTGAAAGGGTGTAACTCCGGTGGTCTCTTGCACGGCCGTGTTGTAGGCAAAGGTGATGTACGGCAACACCTCGTCCCATGTCTTGTGCTCCACGTCGACGTACATGAAAATCATGTCGGCGATGGTCTTGTTGAGTCTTTCCGTCAGCCCGTTGGTCTGCGGGTGGTACGCCGTGGTGAGATGATGGCTGGTGTGGCTGAGCCGAAGCACTCCTTGTGTCAGCTGGGCCATGAACGAGGATCCACGGTCTGAGATCAGGACTTTAAGGGCCGGAGGACAATGGACTCGATGAAAAACTTGGCGACTTCAACAGCCGTACCTGATGGAAGGGCTTTCGTTTCGGCGTACCGCGGGAGATAATCTGGGGCGACGATGATCCAGTGATTTCCTGACGTCGACGGCGGAAAAGGGCCAAGCATATCTATTCCGATCTGCTGGAACGGTGCGGTCGGGGGAGCAATGGGCTGTAGGAGACCTGCAGGCTTCGTCGGCGGTTTCTTACGTCACTGGTACTTGGCATGACCTGGTGTAGAGGTGGACGGCTTTGGGGAGCTTTGGCCAGTAATACTTTTCTCGAATGCGGGCCAATGTTCGGCTGTAACCGAGGTGTCCGGACGTCGGGTCGTCGTGACATGCTTTAAAGATCTCCTCCCGAAGGTCGGTCGGGATTACCAGCAACCACGGTGTGTTGTTGTGCCCGAAGTTCTCGTTGTAGAGTACACCTTGTCGAATGGCGAAGGTCGGCAGTACTCGTGAGAAGACACGTGGTACGGTACTCCCGTTCCCTTCCAGGTGCTCAATTAATGCGCGCAGCTCAGGATCGTCCCGTTGATGTCGTGACATGTCGTCGGTGTTCACTGCTCATAGGAAGCACTCGTCGTCATTGTCGTCGCTGCAGCCGGGAGGGGTTTCGACCGGGGCTCTGGACAGACAGTCGGCGTCGCTGTGCTTGCGGCCTGACTTGTAGACCAGTCATGTTGAACACTTGTAGTCGGAGACTCCATCGAGCGAGGCGTCCTGACGGGTCCTTGAGGTTCGCAAGACAGCAAAGCGAGTGGTGATCCGTCACCACGCGGAACGGGCTCCCGTACAATTACGGACGAAACTTCGTCATTGCCCAGACGACCGCAAGGCGTTCTTTCTCAGTCGTGGAGTACTTTTTCTTCGCCTAGGACAGTGTCCGACTTGCGTAGGCGATGACTCGCTCGATGCCTTCTTGCACTTGGAGCAGTACTGCGCCCAGTCCCGCGTTACCTGCGTTCGTGTGAATCCCAGTTTCCACATCCTGATCAAAATGTCCAAGCACAGGAGGAGTCTGGAGTCGTAGTTTCAGCTCGTCAAATGCCTGCTGCTGCTCCTCGGCCCATTCGAACTTCTCGGCGTCTTTCGTGAGGTGTTGCGTTTCTTGTCGGAAGTTCGTCACGAGGACCACGGTGCGCCCAT